ATATAACCATGGAATCATCATAATCAAGATAGATTATTTCAAACACCCCAAAAACTATCTGCAGCCCAATAACTCAGTAATGTGATAATCATCTGCATAGGTTTGTCTTTTCCTAAATGTTATAGAGATGATATATGCAATGCTTTTGTGTTTGGTTTATTTTACATAGCATAATAATTTTTGAAGTGTAACCCAAATGGCTAGATACCGTTATTATTATTTCTATAGCTGGATAGAATTCTTTTGTGTGGAGGTAACTTGATTTGTGCACATGTTAGTTAAGAGATACTTAAATTTTTTCCAAGTTTTAATTTACTTAATGCTATTATGCTTACTGCTAGTATAAATTATGTACGGGCTTTTTGCGTGAGCATGTTTTCATTTGTCGTGTTTAAACACTTAAGAGTGGGTTTCTGGGTAGTATGGTACCAGCTTGCTTAACCTTACAAAAAACTTCGAAACTGCTTTCCAAAGCAGCTATTAAATTGTGCATTTCTATCAGGAATATGTTAGAACTTCACTTGTCTCTCCTTCTTGTCACCCTTTGGTACTGTCATGTTTGTTTGTTGTTTAATTTTAGCCAGTCTAGTACATGCAGTAGCTCATTATGGTTTTACATTTTTAACACCTAATTAACATCTTTTCATATACTTATAAAATGTATATTTCTTTGGTAGTGACTTTAATTTTTGGTCCATTTTCGTGGACTTGACATTTTTATTATTATACGAATTACGCATGTTGGATGCAAGATTTCTGTCAAATATTTGTTACCAAATATTTGTTACAATTCTGTCTTCCCTCTTCATATTCAAAATAACACCCTCAAAGTTTTCTATATTGAACAAGTTCTATTTAATCATATAACCTGGTTTTCTGGATAAGAGATCTTTGCTAATTCCTTTGAAACTTTAGGTTTTACACATGTCTGTGATCCATTTAAAGTTGATTTATGTATATGTGCAAGGTTTACATGTCATGGTTCATTTCTTCCATGTGTAAATCCAATTGTTGCTGTATCCTGTGTTTGAAAGATTACCTTTTCCTCACAGAATTGCCTGGTAATTTTGTTGAAAATAAATGGATCATATCAATTTGGGTCTATGCTGTTATGCTTGGTTAATCTATATGCCTGTCTTTACATCAATTCCATACTGTCTCAATTACCATAGCTTTGTAGTAAATTGCAAAACAGGGGAATATAGACCTTCCTTTAAATTTGTTCTTATCAAAATTGTTTGAGCTATTCTGTACCCTTTGTTCACCTGTGTAAATTTTATCATCAGCTCATCAATGTTTTATAGATATAAAAGCCTGCTGAAATCTTAAAGGGGTTGACTTGAATCTGTAGATGAATTTGATGAGAATTGATATCTCAAAAGTGTTGAACATCCTTATCTCTGAGAAGTCTGTCTCCATACTTTATTCCTCTCATATACTCAACTTTTAAGAAAATGGAAAATATTATCTATTTCTTCAAAACATTCTCAATTCTATGAATATTAAACATTTTTATGGAGTTTTTTCATCTATTTTTTGTAGGTTCAGCACAAATCTTACACATTTTATTCACTTTCTTGTTTCATGTTTTTTATGATATTACAAATGCTTTGTTATTATAACTGCTTATTGCTAGTGTACACAAATGTACTTGATTTTTATATACCCTTTCTAAACTTACTAATTCTAGTAGATTTTTTTCAGCAGGTTTTTGGGGGTTTTTCTATGTAGACAATCAAACCATCTGTGAGGAAGAGTTTTCCTTCACTATTTTTTTTAACCTATGCACTATTTATTTTTCTTGTCTAGGACTTTCTCTACACATTAAATATAAGAAGTGAAAACAGACATTTTTTTCTCGTTTTTAATCTTAGGTAAATACACTTCCACTATTTTGTGTTATTATTTGTTTCTTTATATATGCCCATTATCATGCTGGGAAAACATCCCATAATCACACACCTCCTTCTGAGTCTTCCCCAGCAAAGTGTTTAAAGTTTAGATTTCTGTTATCAATCTTTCCAAGGAAATGCAGGCTTTATTTTTCACATTTTTTTCTGTAACATTCACCACTCTGTGACCATCATTGGATTCCAAATCCAGTCCAATTCTACAGGAATTTGCTACATTACCACTCCAAATACCAAAGTCTGTAGTAGTTTTCTAATGCTGTGGAGTAAATTACCACAAAATTAACAGATTAAAACAAGATCTATTTATTTCTTAAATTAAAATGTTAATGTGATCTTTATTATACAAAACATCTTGTATCTGCATCCTAACAATTAGATAGAATAAACTATAAAAACCAAACCCAGCCCTTCAAACTTACACTAAGTGAAGGCCTAACCTACAGTTGCATCTCTTAAAAATACACACAATTAACCTGGTCCTCCTGTAACAATATTATTGGCAGAGCCAGGTAGCACAAGACAGCAGGGAGCAGAGAGTTTGTGCCAAAGTGTTCTTCTTTTGTTACTGCACTTTTAGTTTACACGCTTAGCACATTATACTTTAATGTAACATGTAATAAACATTAGTTGTTTAAAACAAGTTGAGGTTCTGGGGTCTAGGAATCTGAATGTGGCTTGTCTGGGATCCCTACTTCAGAGTTTCAACAGGCTGTGTTCAAGGCTTGGGTGTGGCAGTGTTCTCCAGGAGACTCAGCTAGAGAAGAATTTCTGCCAGAGCTCACAGAGGCTATTGGCAGAGTTCATTACTTTTTGACGAAGCTGAAAGTCCTCACTCCCTATGGGCTTTCACCTGCAGGCCACTCTTGGGACCAAAGACTGTGTGCAGTTTCCTGCCATGTAATCCTTCTCACATGCGGTTCCCAGTATAGTAGGTCCTCCTCAAGGTCAGCATCTGTGAGTGACTGTCTAGTAAGATGGCATCATGGAGGATAACGTACTCAGGGAAGTGGCAACCATCGTATGTACCACATTCTGGGAATTAGTAGAAAATCATAGGTCCGAGCAGCACTCAAAGGGAGTTTATACAAAGGCATGAGCTTCAGGAAGTGAGACCACCTTAGAACGTGCTTGTCGCAACTTTGATGTCTAGTTTGCTAAGAATGTTTATTCTCAAAGGATGCTGGATTTTGTCA